TTGGAGGAAGCTGAGGTACATGCCCGTAAACACTGGTGTCTGCACTGAAAGTATGAACAATGGGGAAATATGGCTAAACACTGCCTGGGAGTTCTAGCTTGGGAGTTCAGTTAGCTGAGATTTTCTGAAATAGTCTGTAAGTGCCTAGAAAACAAGCAGGAGCTTTATTAGCATTGCAAATGTTTGTGTCCACTTGCCCAGGCCTCCCTGGAACATGAGGAGGGGAAGATCCTGCGCCTCCAGCTTGAGCTCAACCAGGTGAAGTCTGAGATTGACAGGAAGATAGCAGAGAAAGATGAGGAGATCGACCAGCTGAAGAGAAACCACCTCAGAATTGTGGAGTCCTTGCAGAGCAGCCTGGATGCTGAGATCAGGAGCAGGAATGAAGCCCTGCGGCTCAAGAAGAAGATGGAGGGAGACCTGAATGAAATGGAGATCCAGCTGAGCCATGCCAACCGCGTGGCTGCAGAGGCACAAAAGAACCTGAGAAACACACAGGCAGTGCTCAAGGTCTGTTAAGCTAAGTTTGTGCACATACATGTCTAGCTTGTCTAATATCATAGAATCATTGTAACATAGAAGGGGTTGGTTTGAAAGGAACCTTCAAATATCATCTAATCCAGCATTCTGGCATATGCAAGGGCATCTTTTATTACATCAGTTGGCTTAAACCCTATCCAACCTCAACTAGAACACTTCCAGTGATGGGGCATCCCTAATGTCCTGTCACTGAATACCAGGGAGTATAGATCTTCATCTTGTAAGTTATTTTTTTCAGTCAGCTGGATTTTGACTTCAGGCTTACACAGCCTTAAATTTGGACTGGGCTGTCACTCAACGTGGGACAGTGCAGATTACCACATACCGATGTCCTGCTCATATTCTTAAGATACTGTACATATACTGAAATAATAATTCTACATGTAAATATATATTACATCTATAAATATATATATTATACTGACATCATAATTGGCATTGTTAAACAGTGCTGGGCTGCCTTATAATTTGTTTTTCCTCTCTTAAAGGATACCCAGATACACCTGGATGATGCTCTTAGGACACAGGAGGACCTGAAGGAGCAAGTGGCCATGGTGGAGCGCAGGGCAAACCTGCTGCAGGCTGAAATTGAGGAGCTACGGGCGGCCCTGGAGCAGACGGAGCGGTCGAGGAAAATGGCTGAGCAGGAGCTTCTGGATGCAAGTGAGCGTGTGCAGCTACTCCATACAGAGTTCAGCTACTCCACACTCAGGTTAGATTAATGACATTCAAAATGTCAAGAGCCTTTGTTTTTTCATAGTTCCACATTCTTCTTCTTTGTAAATCCTTAAATCATCTCTTTTAATAAAAAGCTTAAGCTGAAACAACTATTACCCTTGTAATAAGAATTGCACTATAGCTAAATGAGTAGGATTGCATTAAAAGGATCCAAAAGTCCTTCTTGAAATCTTTAGAATTCTCTGGTATCTCATTGTGTATGACCTGACAAAATGCAACATTGGAGAGCTATCTAATATTATATATATATGTGAAAACTTTACATTTAAACAAGGAAATTCTAAATTAAGTGTTCTGTTTTTGAACAAAGTTGACAATATTTTTTCTTGTTCAACAGAACACCAGCTTGATCAACACCAAGAAGAAGCTGGAAACAGACATTGCCCAAATCCAGGGTGAAATGGAGGATACAATTCAGGAAGCCCGCAATGCTGAAGAGAAGGCCAAGAAAGCCATCACAGATGTGAGCTGGGGCCTCCTTTCACTGTTGAAGGTGGATTTATCATCCCCCAAACTGTCTCCAGCCACAAATGGCCTTGACCCTTTGCTCTCATCAGGCGGCCATGATGGCAGAAGAGCTGAAGAAGGAGCAGGACACCAGCGCCCACCTGGAGAGGATGAAGAAGAACCTGGACCAGACGGTGAAGGACCTGCAGCTCCGTCTGGATGAGGCCGAGCAGTTGGCACTGAAAGGAGGCAAGAAGCAAATCCAGAAGCTGGAGGCCAGAGTGTGTTGTGCTTTCATTTGTGCATAAGTGAGTAAATCCCTTGGAGAAATACCCGGGAAGCTCCAA